TTCCTATCTCTTTTTTCCTTTCTCAGGTGACCCATCTTTGTTTTCTTTACACCCTTTTGATATTAAGCGAATTTTCTGTCTTTGGCATATTTTCTAGTAAAATCTTGGTAGATTTTCATTTTGGTGTGTCTTGAATTCCCAAACGGGCTACGTATATATTTCAATATTGGTATAAGATCGAAGGTTGATTATTTTGTGTGCTGTGTTGAATTTCATGGGCTTAACTATATGTTTATGAATTTACTGCTTGCTTGTTTAGGTTAGGATTTTGGGTGATCGTGATCCTTGAATTGGGGGTTTTTAGGAAAGTTTCATGAACTAGTGGATCTTTTTGGAATGTTTAGTAATGCTTTTTGTTAGTGAAATTTTGGGATGAATAGAGTAAATTTTGTTCCTTTTTAGCTCTTGATGCTGATGTTTTCCTTTTACCTATTATTACTTTTCAGTTTGATGAATGTTTAATTCCATTTATTCAATATGCCTGGAGAAGCCAAGGAACAAACTCACAAGAAAAAATTGATTGTGGAAGATGAGGCCAAAAATTTACAAAACAAGAAACCAAAAGTAAAACAAAGAAACAGGAGTCGTTCTTCATTATCGAAGAAAAAAGTTTCTAATAGGTTAAGTGTAAGTTATGGGAGTTCTGGTTGGAAGAAGAAGGTAGTCAAAAAAGCTGTTGTGCATAAAACAAAAACCTGCAAGAAGCAACCCCTGTTGAGTGGTATAAATGATGAAGTTCAGGTCATTAGCACAAAGGACAGCGAAAAACAGGATGATGGAGATATAAAGTTGCAAAATTTAAAGAGAAGGAGAAAGAGAAAGAAGAGAAAGGTTAATGTAGAGCTTGATGAAGCTTCGCGCTTGCAAAGGAGGACGAGGTACCTGTTGATAAAACTGAAGCTGGAGCAGAATCTTATCGATGCTTATTCTGCAGAAGGTTGGAAGGGTCAGAGGTATAAAATTCTCGATCCTATTATCTTTATTAAAATTCTATTGCAGATTCTAGTTTCCTTTATACGTCATTGTGATTTTCCATGTATATTAATATTAGAAAAAGAAAGAAAACATGTTATATTAAGCAAAGCAAGCTGATTTGTAATGAATATGCATCCAAATTTATAGCATGTGGAGATGAAGTGTTAACTGAAGCAATTTACGTTAGTTCAATTTTAATCGGGGCTGGCCCTGGTTGCAATGTATTTGGTCTCTCCAGAATTATATATATAATCAAGTCAAATACTTTACATTAGATATGAAACAAAACCTTTTATCTTAATCAGTGGCGGAGGGAAACCGCTTCTAGTCTTGCCCCATTCCCACTTTCCCTGATTATCATATTATCATTTCCGGCTTGTGCACTCCACCCCACCCCAAGGGTCAAGGTCTCATCTCAAACTTAAGTCTTTTGGGCATAGTGTAATAGCGTGTCACTGTGTAGTGTGTATGGTTATGTTTATATTTTAATTTGATGTGTTAATGCCAAATGGTAATTTGTGTAGGTATAATTGTAATCGTTGTGTATTAATTTGTTTAAATTGAATAAATTGGAATTTGAATTATTGTGAATATGTTTAATTTGTGCAAGCGTAATAAAAATTAAATAGGGTGGATATTCATATTGCAAAACTTATTACGGATCTTAGACTTGTACTCTAATTGTAAAAAAAGAGATTATTAATATTATTATGTTATTTCGTTGTTTGGTGTCATTATACGACATTGTGTTTTTTAAAAATGTATTTCATGAATTTGATAATGATGTCATTATATGGTGTTTTTAAAGTAAAACTCAGTTAATAATTTTTAAAAATTATAAGCTTTTTAATATTATTTTATTTTATAGTTGAAGATTTTTTCCTTAGTTAAATTCGTCCCCCAAATGGTTCCAAGTCTTGGCTCGCCACTAGATTCAATGACAATTATCATCATATACAAATTAAGATGGATCTGTAAAAACTTTTTCCTCTTACATAAACATATTTTTCTTTTACTCAGTCGAGAAAAGATTAAACCAGAGAAGGAACTACAAAGAGCCAAGAAGCAAATATTGAAGTGCAAACTTGGAATACGTGAAGCCGTTCGCCAATTGGATTTGTATAGTTCTGTAGGATGCATTGATGACTCGGCAATTGCCCCAGATGGATCTGTTCATCATGAACATGTAAGCGAATCCTTTTATCCTCATTCTTTTGGGGGTATTCATCAAGCATCTCGTTAGGAGTTCTAGCCCATTGGAATTCTCTACGCATGTTACTGTTTGGTGATGTACTTATCAAATAGAATGTTATTATACATGTTTTTTATACTTACCTTTCACAATAATATCATTTTTTTTTTTTAAATAAGCATATTTGCTTTTGTTTTCTAAATTAAGAATAATTCCAATACTGCACAGTGACAGTAACACCATTGTCAACTACACTAGGGAGTTCATGATATTCCTGTTTTCATTCAGATAATCTGTGCTAAATGTAAGATGCGTGAAGCTCTCCCTGATAACGACATTATACTCTGTGATGGGACATGTAACCGTGCTTTTCACCAAAAATGTCTTGATCCTCCACTGTCAACAGAAAATAGTGAGTTTTTTATAACTTTACTGTTTTCTTTACCTATTCTAGTGTGGCTGACTTGTTAGTTTTTGAGATTTCATGTTTTTTAGAACTTCATGTAATGAAGTTAATGATTTCCCAGTTCCTCCAGGAGATGAAGGCTGGTTTTGCAAATTTTGTAGGAGTAAGATGGATATATTAGAAGCTACAAACGCTCACCTTGGGACCCATTTTCCCATGGATAGTAATTGGCAGGTTGATAATTTTGAAACCTGACGTTATTTCTTAATGTGGTTCACATCGATTAAAGAGGCATATATTGGATCATAACAGGATGTTTTCAAGGAAGAAGCAATATTACCTGATGGTGGAGATTCCATGTTATGCCCAGAACAAGAATGGCCGTCTGACGACTCCGAAGATGATGATTATGATCCAGAAAGAATTGAACCTAGTTGCAGTGATAGCATGGCTAGCTCTGATTCTGATGGCTCTGAGTTCAGTTCCAGCTTTTTAGGATCTCTTGAGGATGAACCACTTTCTTTGTCTGGAAGAAATGAAGGGAGGAGAAAGGAATGTCAGGATATTTATTTGGAGCTAATTGGGGTAGATTCTGATGAGAATAACGATGGTGAAGCTGTATGTGGTCGCAGACAGCGATCAACTGTTGACTATTTAAAGTTACATGATGTGAGTAGACTAGATTTATTTACACTCCTCTTTTTCAGTAGCAACAATAGGAGCCAAGGTGGTCTTGTATATATATGGTCAATTTATTATGTGCGAGCACCTAAAAACCAACAACCCTTTTCAAGTTTTTCCTTTTGAAATTTATGGCCAGGAAGAGACTTTCCTTTCAATTCACTGAAATTTATTAAATTATTAAAGGAAAAGAAAGTTGATGCAGCAATTTTCTTTCGATTGCTTTGTTGAAATTAAAATATTATTATTATGATTTGAACTTTATATTTCATTCTTTTCCGAATGTATGAGTACTTGAATGAGTGCAAAGCTATGATGATGCCAATACTGGTCAGCATTATATGGCTCTTTTTTTTTTATCAAATGCAAATTCATGTGATTGGTTGTCCGGTTCATAGGAAATGTTTGGGAAGAATGCTGCTGAAGATGAACAAATCAGTGAAGATGAAGACTGGGGTCCAACAAAAAGAAGAAGGAAAGGAAATGAGACTGATGCATGTGGCACCCTCATGGCTCTGTCTGAAACTGAGAAGAACTGTTCAAAAGAAAAACCAAAAGAAGTCCAGGAAAAACTCTCAAGTGGGAAAATAAAAAGACCAATTTTCAGACTTCCACTTAATGCAGTTGAGGTACTATAGATTATTTCTCGTATTCTTTTCAATACCTTGACAAATGACATTATACATAGGGTGAGCCAATCCTCCATTTTTATTTTGCTGTTGCAGAAGCTTCGACTTGTTTTTGCTAAGAATGAACTTCCAGCCAGAGCAGTAAGAGAGAATCTTTCCAAACAGCTGGGAATAGAATTTGACAAGGTAATACTGTAATATTATGGCTGAATCAAAGAAATTGAACAAACAGGATGTCAGGAAAAAGATAGGAATCCCAATTCATTGCATTTTCCAAATTTTAAACTGGGTCGCTGGAGGGGGGAAAAAAAAAACCAGTGCTGCAAATTGCTGTAGCTAGTGAACATTGTATGTTTCAGTAGGATTCTAATACGATACTGGAAATTACTATCTGTAACTGTTATTGCCCTTGTAGGGTTTAGTTTTGTCAAATATGCTGCCTGTGAAATATTGGTTTTGGAATGATATCGCTGCAGAATTGAGTCGATTTTACTTTGAAAGGTGCTCTGTCATTTAAGACATTACAAGAGTTTAAGATAATGGATGGGAAATCAAGAAAAGGTAGGAAGGACAAGAGCATTTGATATGCATACACCCAAAAATTAAACAATAAACAGAAAAGAGATACTGATCCATCACAAAGCAACATAAATCAGAAAAAAAAAATACTAATTCAATCTATGTTTAATTCTTCAACCTGTTTAGTTGACTTGATTTGTTATTACATTTGTAGGTCAACAAATGGTTCAAGAACGCACGCTACCTAGCTCTTAAAGCCAGAAAGGCAAGGGTGCACCTGACGAAAAACTTCCTCCTTTGTAGCTCAATTCTTGTTATATTCTTCTCATTCAACCGTTTAACTCTTAGCAAGCATTGCATAGATTTTAAGTTGCCTGAAGAGACATGATAAAAATAATATTTTTCTTCACATTGTTTATTCCTCAAATTATGGCTACATCATATAAGTGAGTCTTTTTTATTTATTTCGTTTTCTCTTTATCACTGTTTAAAATTGTGGATAAATAATAATTTTATGTCTTTTAATTTCTAATTTCACAGTAATTATAAGAATAACCCAAGAATAGCTGTATTTGTCTTCTGATTCTTTGCTTTCTTTTATAGACTGATTTCTTCTACATATTTCTGTATCCACTTATAATTGGCAGGCTAAAGTCTGCTGATTTCTCTGTTTACGGTGACCAAATTTCCTTAAATTTGAAGTTGAATTCCTTATTTACGGAAATTAACAGGCAGGAAACACAAAATCATCTGATGATGGTAGTCCTGGCATTCAGGAAGAATCCACATCAGAAACTGGAACCAGCAAACATGCTGATCAAATGGCATCGAAGGATAGCACATTACTGCAGGCACCTAAGAGTTCAAAAAAGGCTCATAGAGGTAAGAAACCCTGCTTGCTGACCAATCCTTTTAAGGGAAAACAGCAGAGGAAAACAATGCTACAGAAGCCAGCCAACAAGAAGGTATTGTTTGGCTCAACTTCCCATTTGATATTCTACTTGATATGCAATTTTACTAAGTTCCATAGTAAGTTGAAAGAAAATGTGAATTAATGCACTGATTTCTGATTGGAAGGCTTATCAAGTTGAAATTGGGAATTTGATTAAGAAACTTGAAAATATTGTAATTCAAACAGATGAGGTATGCTACCAAATTGGCTTTTCTGGTGAGTTGGTTTTTACCATTTTGAGAAATAGCAGAGCTGCAGCAAAATACTTTAGATCTAAATGGCTACACCTTCATTCAATTTGAGTTGGAGAATGTCGCAGCTTGACGTGTAAAAATTTACGTCTTATTGGTTACAACATTTGCGTATATGATTAAGTTGTACTGAGATCCCTTGGTATATTTTTTCTTAATCATATTTTGCACTTCCAACTATCAGGTGGCTGCAGATTTTGGTGATGATGTGAGCCTGAAACTTTTAAGAGAAAAGGCCAAGGAAGCTAAGTCAAATAGGAAGAGGAGTCGTATGCTGGAGGCAGAAGCTGAATTGAAACGGCTCTGTGAAATCAAGAGTAAAGTAAAAAACCTCCAGCAAGTTTTACGAGGGCTTCCGAATCAGGGACTCAATAAAGTCGATGCTTCCACCTTAAGCAAACTGACTATCGTCTATGTACCTGTAGCAGAGGTAAGGGAGAAAGGTGATCCATTTTTTTAAAAAAATCTCCTCTCTTGTAAGGGATGATTTTGAATCTTTTTACCTTGTGCGTTGTGCTTCTGTTTCTCTACAATTAGAGAATCAGAAAATCCTTTTTGTAACGTATAGAGATAGTATCATTCAATATCAGATAAAAGTACAATAACACATCGGTTTATATTGCTAAGCATATACCGCAGAGAACGAGCATGGCGAGTTTTCATGCTCATTTTTGTAATCCCTTCTTGTGCTATATTGAGAATTCACCACTATAGCATCACTTTATGTACCAGTGCATCTTTTATGTCTCAAAGGGACTACGATCACATATTGCAAAGGTTAGGGACCACACGTGCAAGAAATTAAAGTTTGTTACCCCATTCGTCAAAACTTCAAACGTTAGAGACCCTTTCTGCAATATTCCCTTCTTTATTAATAAACATTTTATAATTTTTAATTTTTTTACTCATATATATATATATATATGGTGCACGACATTTTTATAAATATGCGACTACGAGACTATTCAATGTGCGACAAAACACAATATATTTTGTGTGTTTTATTCTTCTTTAACTAGTATACATATCTCAAAAGTTGATATTCGTATAAGAAGACGAAACCATGAAAGAAGAACTAAAATTTGACTACAAAAATACTCATTTCATAATTCTTGCTCGCTGTCCGAAGAATCGGGGCTTCTAACGAATCCTCCCTGCAATATCATAACAATCAATTGGAAAAATTAACGATGTTTAGTGTCGCAAAAAAGTGAAAAGTTGAAGATATAAATATGATGAAAAGTTACTGCAATTCACTCGGAGAACCATGCAGTAATCCCTCAATTCAACGTTTAAGATTGGAAAAAATGGAAAAATGTTAAAATAAAAAACGAGAGAGAGAAGAGCATACCTTCATTCTTAGCCGTTGATCAGCATTTACTTTTCTTACTTGACATCTTATCTTCTTAGAGAAAAGGCGCGTACGCCGCTTCTCTTTGTAGCGCCACACACCAGCCTCCCTCACTTCATCTTCTCCAAATAAATCTATTTGTGCCAATCTTGTCTACACCAAACATAACACAATCAGCAATTATCCAATGAAGTACAACATTTTCCAATATACTCTTTGACAATTTCAAATTATTAACAAAAGATTTGATTTCATACAAAAATGTCAAAGACAAAATAGGATGTTGTCGTACTAAAAAGCATAGACGACTATAAAGAACATATTAACAAATCGAAATTTATCTTCTTTTTTTTCTTTTTAAAACTCTCAAATAAAAAGTGTAATGGCATAGAAACCATTCAAGTGTTGGCGTACCCAGCCGGCAAACAACAACATTATTGCTTGAAAGATTGCTCACTTGTTGACCATGCCCACTTTTTTTTATTGAACCATAATTCTAACCAACAGTGACATTAATTATTAAAAAAGGAAATATAAAAACAATCACCTATGACACATCATAAGCACATGCCATGCCCTACAAGTACATAGAAAGTCCTTTATTTTTTTATAGCCAAGTGACTGAACTAGGTACAAATCCCCTTAAAGATTCACAATCCTCGTGGGACGAGATTAGAAACATACTTGAACATCAGGTCTGGCGGCCTCGGAGTTCGGAGGAGTTTCGCCAGAAAATGGCGAGACCTTATCGGACCACGCATTCAAAACGTCATCGTAATTCAATTTTAGTGACAACCCTGCATTTGGTTTAGGCAGTATAGCCTCCTCTTTAGGTGATTTGCTAGCTGAATTCACCTTGTTTGGTTTAATGGAACTTGACTTCAACTTAGCTAATGTTGAATTCTTGTGTTCAACCGCCTTTTCGACCTTCTTTTTCTTCTTCTCGGCAAGGATTTTACCGGTTCTTGGTGTGATGTCTTGCACATTGACACTAGGGAACCTCCACCAATTCCCATCATCAACATTTTTCATTGCCCTCACTTCCCTTCTCATTCCAAAGCCAAAGGCACCTCCAAATCCTAGGCCTATTGGATAACCATAACACCAAGAACTCATTTGCCTAGTACTCAAATCACTCGAATCATCAACCGAGTTGTTTCCAGTACTTAACTTTCCCATGATACTATCAATGCCCTCTTCAATTTCTGCACCTAGTATCGATCCTGCATCGAAATCTTCTTGATAGTCATCACAAATCTCCAAAGAACCACCCCCTCCCGAATTGATTTCCCCTGGACTTTGGCACGGTTTATCAAATGCACCAATCCCTTTCGGCTCAATTGGGAAATTGGGTTTTTCAAGTTTCGGTGGATGCAACAAGAATCCCGAGTTTTCAACTACACCAAAAGGCATAAACAAGTCGGACGGCTCATACGGAAAACTATTGTTACAATTATTGTGTGGTTTTGTGAATTTGTAAGGCTTTGTGAGGTGTTTGGGGGAGAAAATTTTGGGATAGGCTGCAGAAAGAATGGCTGCAGCTTCATTATAAGTCTGATTAGGCCTTTTTCGAGGTGTCCGAGGTTTTCGAGTTGAGATGGCAATATGGGAATTGCTTGATTCAGTTAAAGTTGAAGATGATGAATTTGAAATCCAAGAAGAGGATGGGGATTTAATAATCTCAAGGTCTAATCGAACTCTTCCACCTCCACTTAAACAAGAAGACATTTGTAAAATACCTTATAGAAAACCTCCAAGAATGACTGAAATTTGAACTAAAACAGGAAATGAACCATCTGCAGAAATGACTTAAAAACTGTAGAATCAAAGATTTGGGGCCTGCAAATTTAACCCTAATTGATAAAGAAACAGCCAAACCAGAGCAAACAATTGGAAAGTAGTTGATTGGTCTGAAAAAAGAACCCTAAACCCTTTAAAGTACTAGAAATTCAGTATGAAACAAACTCGATGACTAATAAAAAAAATTTGCAAAAAAAAAAAAAAACCAAAAAATTTAGCACTGTGAATATAAAATTATTAAAAGCCACAGATTACAGAAGGGAACAACCCTTCAAAAACCCAGAAAATCAAAGGGCCTAAAGAAACAACCTTGAAAACATCGAATCATGAAAGAAAGTACTGTATTTTCTTCCATGGAAAAACATCATAGATATCTCAGAAAAAGAAACAAGATTTATATACCAAGAATCAGCTATCCATGTAATTTGAGCAGTACAAAAAAAGCAGAGTATATTCAATTACAGTGCACAAAACTCAAGATTTGCTCAAATATTATATGAAATATCTCTAAATGGAAAGATAGGAATTAAAAAGGAATCCAAAGGGCTGAAGGACAGAGACTGAGTGTGGCACAGTGAGTCACGGGATGGAGGCAGATTAAAGGTTGGTATCGGCTGATGAATTCTGTACATACAGCAGAGACACACAGTCTATCTCTCTCTATATCTAACCATTTATCCCTCTATATATATGTATATACAGAGAGATTGGATGGACGGAGGGGATGATTGAAAGGGAGTGGTGGGTTTGGGTGATGAAGAAGAGAACAGAGGAAGAGACAATTCTGGGCTTCAACAGTGGACCATATTATTGGCTTTCATCAGTACAATTATGCTTACTATTTTAATGTAATTTACAAAGAGACCCCTACATTTTTTTACTTATTCTTATCATTTTAATCAATTCCCTTTGACTTTTGTATATGCAATCAAGGCCTCGTGGTTCTTTTTCTAATGATTTACCAATATTCAATTTAAGCCTTTTATAAGACAGTTATATTGAGTTCAACTTTGTAAGAACGAGAAAGAAATGCTCATGAAGTAAGATGAGCAAAAACTTTTTTGAAATGCACATTACGTAAGAGAATAATTTAAGCATGTGTCTGAATCTTCACAATTAAACCTCGAATCTACGAATTGAAACTATAGCACACAAAAGGAGTTGTAAAAGAAGGAGAAATTGCATTATTGATTTTCGGTTTATTGTCATGGTAACAAATTAGTTTCCAACCTTTAAAACTAAATCAATTGGTCCACAAATTTTTATTATAGTTGCACATCAATTGTTAATGAATGCATTACCAAATCTCTATTACATTGCGAGGTACTCTCGCATATCGACAGTTATAAAGCTAAATTTTGATTTTCAGTTTGGATTGCAGGCTAAAAATCTGAAGTGAATCATGTTTTGTCCCTCCCAAACATAGTCATGTCAATGAGCTGAAACTCAAAGCTTGGGCTCGACTCGAGCAAAATAGGTCATAGCTTTTTCGGGTTCGAGTTGAGCCGAGCAAAAGCTCGGCCAAAAAAACGAGATTCGGCCCAAGCTTTCACTCGAACGTTAGCGGGCCGAGCCGGCTGGTTTTTTTTTTTTTTTAATTCGTTACAAATCTATAATTTTTTATAATGTATTAAAATTTGTGCAATTTATACGTATTATAAATAAAAACTAAATATTAATATATAAAAAAATACATTTAAACTTAAAATAATAATAATAATAATAAAGCTAGGCTTGGCCCATGACCCGAGCCGGTGACGAGTTTGGGCTAGCTCGGGCTCCAGCGACGCTCCAAAATGGGGCTCGGCCCGATGCCACCGAGCCATAAGCCAAACCGACTCGAGCTTTTTGTGGGCCGAGCTTGGGCCACTCAAGCTTTTTTGACATCACTACCCGAACAACCTACAGCAATTGGCATGGCGTCTATCAAGATACATAGGTAAAATAGCATGTATTGAACCAATAACTTCCTCGTCAACTCCCCGAGATCAAGATGGCACCTTAAGTTTTAGTTTTACAATAGGAACCATGCACCAATCTCTTTCCTCCATCTTGAAAGAGTAATGTTATGTAATATCATTGGAGTTACAACCTCAATTTAGATAATGTTAAATGAAATGTAAAATTAAATAACTTATTTAATTTTACATGTCACATTAACTCTACTGAATAACATTACTCATCTTGAATAACATTACTCCTCTTAAAAATGCCACAAATTTTTTTTTGATGGAATGCCTCTTATCTCTCCACGTGGCACAAATTTGTTGGGTATGTCAGATTTTAGGGCTGACGTGGATTACATTTTATTGTCAATTTATTTTCAATGAGGTGAGTGCGATAATTTGATGGTTTTGTTGTTTTGTGGGTTGTTATTCTGTGGTATGTGGCAATCATACGTTAGGCTATTTATGTTCAATGACTTATGATAAGAACCATCAAATTAACATTTTGGTCCAATAATCTTGAAGAACGTAAAAAATAATGAAATTAAGTTTGCAAATATTGCAAATAGCCCCAAATCTTTTACATTTGTTGCATTGCATTGAGATGTATTGAGACGAGTAAACACATACAAACTAAAGTGACTTGATGTTGTTATAGACATTACGCGACTTACAACTTTCTAATTACATATGGCAAATTCATAATAATATTAAACACTTTAATGGTTTGAACATCATCATTAAGCCAATAAACAAATTAACACTATGATTTGAAAGTCGAGCACTAGCTAAATTTGAGTTATTTTACACAATAATCAAGCGAATGGGAAATATTGGTTTTTGTTGGGGCACAAAATGGTTGCTCTGAAGAGTTGGGTAACATAAAAATGTTTAGCAAGTCTTTAACGGATGCCAATTGATTATCGGATGAGAAAGTTGAAATCTTATCCTGACAATTTCAGTAAAATCATGTATAGTTTACATTTCGCTCTGCAACCATGAAATAGCACGTGGCTTAGGTGTCTAGGTCGTGGAAATTATCCAAATCGACTTTTATCCTAAAAACCAATATTGAGACGGGGGAGAAAAGAATCAAATTCAATTAAGAGGGACGCAAAGCGATTTTTTAAAATTTGAGGTCCAACATGATGTAATTCAGAATATTTATCATGGTGCCACATGCACAGGGTTTTTGTTACAAAACATGCCAGCATCTGTGACACAGATGTATAGTTTTTGATATTTATATCAAGCAAAATGTATTTAAATTACAAAACAACCCCAAGCTTTTCTTTATTTCACTATTGCCCAAAAGAATAATTAATTTGACCAATTAGGGCTTTTTACCAATCATCATTTAACCTTCTCCTCCTAAAGCCTAACATGTTACATGGGGACATATTTTATTTACGTGTTTCTAAAACACACCTTCTCACGTGCGCGCGACGATTTTTTCATGAACACGTAACAATAAATGTGGATCGCATTTTTTTCCTACCTCTATAATCGTGTTAACCATTTTAATTTAAATTTTAAATTTTTAGATAGGAATTGAATTGCGTAACGTAGTTAAATAATCCAATACTATATAAGAACATGTGAATAAAAGATAATGACATCTGCGTCTTATGAACCATAAAAATAAGTAACTATGGAATTATTTATAAGCTAAAATGATGGCCACAAAATGCAACACCATAATTGGCTTATCTTATGTAAATATTTGACATTGGATAAATGTGATTCATACACTTTGTCACAACTATGCTTCCACCTACCACAATAAAACTTGTGTTTTATTAGGTAAAAAACTTTTTTCAACTTTTTTTAATTGTATTTTTAGCATGATTAATCTTTCAGTTAATTAGATTATCTTTTCTCAATGACGACTCTCGGAATACTCGATAGCATGCTTTAAAAATGAGGAGTTTGTATTTATTATTACTTTTTCTTGTTTAAAATTATGAGGGGTAAATAAATCTTTTTATACCCTCTTTGCAAAATTTTTGGATGTGACGTGATATGCAAATTAATGAAAGATTGAAGA